GGGGAAAGCGTGCACACACATACTGCACACACATTAAAATTGGCATGCATGTATTCCATCCATGCATGTGCGTGCAAGAGTTAACACGGCACTGTTTAAACATCACCCAGAGCATCCACGGGCATTAACACGGCACCACGCTAGTCTCCATCTATGGAAACAAACGTTATAGAGAATCTGTTTTTTTTTTCTTTTGAACCTATAGAGAATCTGTTTGGTATAGCGTGATAATCGGAATCATATTAAGAACGTGATTGTAAGGTACTTCCTCCATCCCATTATTACGGAGGGAGTAGTTTATTTGTTGCACAATTCAAGGAAACAAATATAGACAACGAAACTGCCTCACATACGATCAATTTTATCATACGATGTGTACGACAAGAGACAGCCCGCTTCCCGAGGTTTGGGCCCACCACACTAAATAAGTCTTGTCGTACATAGATCGTACAGATTTTGATCGTATGTATAGCAGCTCTCTATAGACAATCTACACACCTGTCTGGCGAGAACCACTCAATTAACGCAGCAAATTAGGAAAACTCACACAAGGCTTAACTGCTACATCGGACGATCATCATCCTTCCTATCGAACGGCCTACAACTAGTAATTCTTTTACACATTCTACTTCTTGTTTCTAAATATAAGTCATTTTAAAGATTTTAATAAGAGACCACATACGGAGCAATGTAAGTGAATCTACACTTTAAACTACGTTTATATACATCCCGGCAACATATCCTATGCATCTGAGGGGCTTTGTGTATCCGTGTGTCCATCTGTCCAGAGCCTTCCGATTCAAATCCGACGCCCAACATCAAAAGCGTGCACAATTTGCAAAGACACGCCCGCCTAGGCACGTAAGACAAAGCATCTTTACCGTAATCCCCCTTTAATTAATACACAGCGGCGGCGATGAATTAGATCTAGGTAGAACGTGAGTTTTGATGTGTTGGATCTGATTAGCTCTAGGTTGAACGTGACCTTGCATGCATGTCACGAGTCTTTTTAAAGTTGTTGGCTGCCGGCTGCCGTGTTATGTGGCCGTCCGCTGGCCGCCGCGTTGTGTGGCCGTCCGCCAGGCCGCCGGCCGCCGCGTTGTGTGGCGTTCCGCCGGGCCGCTGGCCGCCGTGATTGTATGCCCGTCGTCTAGTGGTCGCCGTGTTGTATGGTTGTCTAGTGGTTGACCGCCGCCGTGTTGTGTTTTGTGCTGCCGTCATCGATGCCCAGCCCGCTGTCGTGTGTGCTCGTCGCATATGACATTGACATGAAGAATCGATCGGTTTGAGATTAAGAAACTTTTGGGCGTTACTACAAAGATACGACGACTTGCGTGCCTCAGCGGGCTTGTAAGTGCAAATTAGTCATGCTTTTAAGGGCACGCGTGGGATTTGAATCGGAGGGTTGAGGACAGGCGGATGCATAGGATACACAAGCCCCCCGGATGCATAGGATATGTTGCCATACATCCCTATGTAGTTCATAGTGAAATCTATATAAAGACTTATATTTAAAAACGAAGGAAGTACATGGTATGTCCTAAAAAAACATTTAAGAAACGAAATATCTATCTGGCACATCAGATCATTTTCGTAAAACTACTTAACATATCTGTTGACGTTCGATTCAGATCGAAGGATACATCGCTTGCGTGCGCCACATCCCGGAGCGCAAGAAGATGAGCTCCCGAGCACTTTAGCTATACGTTAGGCGACTGATTCTTCTAATTTTGGTCAGTCAATTTTGTGGTCGTTGATTCAAGTGCTTTGTGATACGCATGGGAGGGCTCGATGGATTTGACTGACCCAATTATTTGCTCAGTCGATTTCCCCTTACCTTGTTGAGTGCATGACCCAACCTTCATGCATGCATATCTCGCTCTGTGTTGAAGAGTTTAGTGTCATGGTTCAGATTTTGCTCCGTACGTAGTCGTATTGGAATCTTTAAAAAGGCTTACATTTAAAAACGGAGGGAGTACATTATTTGGCCGGTTGGTTACTGGCACCCATTTTAAAAGCATACTTATGTAAAAGAGCATACAAACGTGAATTATTGACACTTATTTGCAACATAGTGCAGATCCATGAAGCTGGGGCTATCTAACTACTACGGCAGCGTATGTTAGAACTTTGGTCTACTTTTGTTAATCACCAGTGGCATCTTCCTCGGTAGTGCTTGGCATGAACAGTTGTTTGGCGGCAGAACTGTACATTGTTTGACAAAATTTTATCAGATTTTTATGAGTATCGCTCCTGACTTCTTTTGTACAAACTGCCGAACCAACCTTTTTCATTGATTTCACATCCTTGCACGCAGTGTCAGCCGCTGGTCTTTTCTTGCCATCTGAACCGCTTGTTTTCATCCAATGGCTGAAAAAATGATTAGTATGCTGATGTAAGTGAACGGTAATCTGAAAGCATACAATCTACGGACTGTTAAAACCGCTCTTTATACCTTGGCCTCCTGGATGGTCCAGACAAATGCTGCCGAAGCTGATGTACATCACAGGCGCCGGCACCGGGGTGTCGAGCCACGAGACGATGCAGACCGCGTCGGCTCGGTTGCCGCAGCCGGCCATGGCGCTGTCCATGACGCTCTGGGAGGCGCCTGATGGCCCATGTCAGGCTGCCAAGCACAAAACACCCACCATATAACTGCATAAAATGTAAAACCTTGTGACGTGATCCTTGTGTATGTAAGCAGAGTATACTTTTTATCCTTGAGAAAACATGTTAGAAAACAGAGCATGTTTTGCGGTTCACTAAATATTCTAACAGGAGAACTGACGCACATTTGTGTAGAACACTTAGATGGACAAACTATACGCGAAAACTTGGACTATGTAGGTAGCAAAATAACATCCAGCTAAATCTCGACAGCCCATGAAACAAACACAGGGAGCAGAGTAAACGGCCAAACTAAAGGTTCCAAGACGCAGGGAGAGCAGGCACATACATGCATATATTGCACAAAGAGTTCAAGACTTGCAGTGCGAAGAAGTTACTCTCTGCACTGAATTCTAAAAGCACAATCCATACAAGAAGAAATACTTGCAGCAACATCAAATCCAAAAATTGTTAGTCCAAGAGATTCCTTTAACAGTTTTGCAGCCTCTTCCACCACACCGATATTCAGAGATTTGTTATCTTGTACCCTGTTCTGCAGTAGCTGCTCCTTAATAGCCACTGGAAGAGTCTTCAAACTGTGAAGCCAAATTCAGGTGTGAAATTTAACATAGGAATGAAGAAGGCATCCAATACAGTGCCAATATATGTACTTTTCAAACTTTACCTATTAAATGTAAGAGGTTCGTCTCCTGATGACGACTTCAGCAAAATTGCATTGGGCATTTACTCGTTTACAGCATGAAAAACCTTGTCTCCATTTACATAAAACTTGAATATCTTGGATCCGTGATCAATGTGTTCCTACATCGCATACATAAGATCTACACATTTAGCAGCTGAATCACCGCAAACAGTAGTTCATAGGCCTAGAATTAGAGAGGAAGCAACCTTTTGGGTCAGGGCAGGCGCCACAGGCCTAGGCTTAGTTCTACCATCGACTTGGGACGTCCACTAATCCTTTTCATTTTAACCCTGTATCCCTGCCCTATCAGAGGCTTGTACTGATAACCCCTCTTTCTATTCAATGACATGAAACGCAAAGTCTTTGCTTTTTCTCGAAAAAGACAGGAAAGACAACATGGAATGCCTCAAATAGTGTCAAAATTGCAGGTGAACATACAAGATGTGATTAATCGTCAGAACATACCATTCATTAAGAGTACATCAAAGATGCCTATTTCCTACCAAGACATCATCATAGGGGAAAATGCAGAAAATTGTACCTGTATAATAGCTGGACGGGGCACACTAAGGTTGCTAAAATCTTCAATGGAAAACTAATGCCTGCAGACAACAATTTTTCATCTAGATGCAAAGCTCAAAAGAAAGCAAATGAAACTCCAAACTGAAAAGGGACTGAGTAGCAAAATGAGTCAGCCTAACCATCTCTGTAGGATATTTTTTTTGGAAAGAACAGAAAAGGTGCACTGAGAGAGAGAGAGAGAGATGCAATGTATTGTACCATTTATTTGCCTTTATCAACCTATGTTTCTACTTGATCTTGACAAAAATATAACCAAATGAGCACCAACTAACTTGATGATGGGCACTTCTATGGGCGCGACGTGTGTATGTAGCAAATACGGAGTATATTTCTACACACATGTACTACCAGTCGAAAAATATCTTCCGGAGTAAAAACAATCCGTTCATCGACGACCTTCGCATTAATCCACAAAGGTCAGTCAATTTATTGATTTTTTGGAAATAACTGAATTGGGAAAGCTTGTTAAATGACATTAGAAAACTAATGTTCTAGAAGTGTGAGGAAATGATTATCCTTGCAGATAGCATAAGTAGCAAACATTACTGCAAGCTAAAATAATTGTGTCAACCCATGTATGAATGCAAAATGGTAGAGAAAAAAATAGACTACCTACATGTGAAAGTCCCCTGCAGCAGAAAAACAGGGAAAATCATTGTAGCAAACACCTTGCACGCAACATAATCGAGATAAACCTAAAACATGAAAGGTCTGTGCTACATCAAGTAGAATCTGGGATGGATGCATCGTCTTGTACCTGCCAATGCTACTCTTGATGGTGGTGGTGCCGCGTGCAACGCCGTCAGCCACTCAGCCCGCCAGATCACTTCCTGCAGCTGCCTTGGTGTGGCCCCTCGTGGAGAATGTTAGCGAGAGAACATATCATGTACTAAATGAAATCAACCTGTCTAAGAAGCACAAACTAAACAAGAATGATCCATTATCCACTTTATTGAGAATGTAGAACATCTTACAGATAGGCCAGTCCTCGATCTGGATGCTATTACATAAATGTCATAAATTGGAAGAAATAACTAGTAATCAAACTCAAGAGGCTAGCTCAATGTCATAAATTGTAACACTCTGCTACGTATTACATGAATGCAACTTAGTCAATCAATTCAATTGGTTCTACAGGATACATCGCAAAGCGGAGGATGCCGCATAACCCACCGGTTTCTTCATAGCCACGCTCCAATCTATAGTAACCCTTCTCCCCCCGGTGGATGCCCCACGAATTCTTGATCTTCCAGTAATCTATGGTATAGTTGCTTCCATCTATATCTTGCTCCTGCGCCGTCCCATACCCTACCAGGAGCGCTTGGTGTCCAGGCCTCTGTCCACAAGGCCCGCTAAACACTCTGCCTGCCCGATAGTGCTTAGCCCACCCCGTGGTATCAACAGACACCACTACAGGCTGTGATGCCACAGCCTGCTCAAGTGCCGTCTCATTGAATCGCGGGACAAACTTGTACCCGCCGATGGTGACCACCTTCTGGGCCTTGTGGCAGTTCAACCTCGTGGCCACGTACGGGTTGTCCTCCCACTTTGCGATGCCGTCAGCATCAATCACATGGTTGAATGCCTTCACAGCATTGCCCCCATCGCATCCCCTGCTGATACTGCAGTCCAGAAGTTCCTGCACACTTAACTGCATCAGGATGCCATTTTCTATCATGTGTATACCCTCCACTGCCCCTGCCGCCGCGAAGGCCCAGCAGGCCCCGCATGAACCTTGGTTCATGACTTGTGTCACGGCGCCCCGAGAAGCCCAGTCGACGTAGTCGGGGATGTCGTCGTTGGCGAAGGTGAACTGGTCGCCGGTGATGACGTCGTGCTCTAGCAGCTCCTCTCTGCTTTTGAGGAAGCAGGATCCGAAGGTCTCCTTGAACTCGTCATCGGTTATGTCCGAGAACTCGTTCAGGCGCCGGCGGTTGTGGATGACACCCGTGTTCATGATGTTGATCTCCTGCGCTCGTGACCTGAAGATGTCCAGCCTCCCGGACTTGTCGTCGTCCTTGCAGCCCCGACCATCCGGGTACTTCTTGCACCAGCGCTCGTAGAGCTGCCGTGTGGACTCCTCCGACGACAGCTCGGCGCTGGTGAAGTCGATGCTACTGGCCGCAGGCGCGAGGGCCAGCACAAGCATTCCCATTGACAAGGTAAGATGGATCTTCATTTCTACTTTTCAGTACGTATTTCGGTCCTGCTTCTGCCTGTTTATATATGTTAACAGCAGTATGGTATTATCATAGTAGGTAACTGTTAGCTCTGAACTTAAATCTACTGTTAACCAAACCTGTGCTGTGCCAGGTTTGTCTACTTCTTAGCTACCTCTGCTGTGCCAGGTTTGTCTACTTCTTAGCTACCTCTGCTGTGCCAGGTTGTTGGGAGGTGCTTGACGGATGCCTTCAATGCACGAGAATCGTAGACTCGTCTAATGACTACCTTTTTTGGTTTTCATCTGCCAATGCAAAATGCATCAGTAACCAACAAACCCATCATGCAAAAGAGAACACCACAGGAAAATTCTTTCAACTAGGGACAACTCCAGCATATGTTCTTGAATTTATGTTCATAATGCATTTACACACGAACTTAACAATACAATAATACTATTTGTATGTACTCCTCATTATAACACAATTGACTGATGGTACCTTACAGTGGATGCTATATAAGCTCTCGAGTCTACTTGACCGTGTAACTTCCATCCCTGTTATATACCTGAAGACGAAATAGTGTAATTCAAACATGAGAACCTCAACGGTACTAGTAGACTAACAAGTATAGACAATTAGAGCCAAAGCTGTGAATCTTTAAAATTACTAGAATGTGAACTTACGATGTTGTTTTAAGCAACTCCTGCTGAAGTTCTTCCTCACAAGCTGTTAATGCAATCGCAGCAAAATCAACAATCTTAGGCTTTCCAACGGCTGCTTCAGAGCTACTTTGGAGATAATTAAGAAAGTCGGAGCGCCTTCTCTGATCCAAAAAGAGGTCATCCAAAAAGACGTCAAATGGCAATACAGCTTGCGATAGATCCTGCAGTTGAGGGAGGAATTATATTTCATAATAAGATAAGATATCAACCCTACCAGTCAAGGAAAATGAAAATTACGTTCATTCATATCTTTAAATTTGGGACTACCAGTTTCCAGTTTACACAGTTCTGAAGTACCACACATTCATTTATCCTATACCCTGCTATTGCTTTTCTGTATCATACTGAATGGTGTACAAGACATTTTCAGCAAATTCACGAGTTTCCTTTTGGGATTTTCGCTGGACAGGTGTATTGTGAGACGGTGGAACCCATTATACCAATAATATTCCAGAGAACAAAAGCAACATGCTTTGCTTATGGACAAACAGAAAGTCAAGCATGTTTGCCCATATCTTTAAGCACAAATAAGTCATGGTTTCTGTGATTAGTTCAACCTTCGATTAATGTGCAAAGTATTGGTTGTCTTCTTTTTGTCAATTTTGAATATGCTTGTGCAAACGTGCACAAGTGTTGTGCAAATAACTGTATTGTTGAGAACTTGATCTCGAACTTCAGAAGTAGTTCACTGCCTACTAATTTCCTGGTTGACTTCTGTATAATGTGATAACCTGAAAAGAAACTTAATTACTTATCCCTCTCAGAGTTCAGCCTTCTAGATTGCTTACCAGATCCCCTTGTGATGTTCTTCATCATTCCACTTCATGAGCAGGTAGTGGCAAGAGATACACCAATGCAACCTTAGCCTCTGAGAGCGGCACAAGACATAATTCGTCTTTTGCATCAACCTGTCTGAGTCAAAATGTTAAGCTGTGGCTCAGCTAATTTGAGATATATGGTGAGAAACTCTATGATCTTCTATCAGACAGAAGGTTGGTTGTATCGCAGACACAAAAGTCCATGCCTTTAATTCTATTGCTTTTCTCGTTTCTGGGTTTGGTGATGGGGTGCATGCATATACTAACATTCAGTGTTTCATTGACAAGTACTCCCTCCGTTCCTAAATATAAGTATTTTTAGAGATTTCAGTAAGGAACTAAATACAGAGCAAAATGAGTGAATCTACACTCTAAAATATGTATTAAGTCATGCCTAATTGCTTTAGGATAAGGTTAATGACTCATATGTTTACACCCTGGTTATGGAATAGATTATTTCTGATTGGATGTAATTAAGGTCAAATGCTGTCTTGTTAAGTCTAATCACTCATGCGTAGGACTTAATTGTTTGGTTAATGCAATTGTGCAATAATCGGAATCAAGTTGATGTTCCGATAAGCTCAGGTTCAGCTATTAGAAGGAGTGGAATTGAATGTTGAAGGAAATCCCCAAAATATCCCCCCATTCCGAAAAACTAACCCAAGATGGCAATTCCCCAATTTGCAAATTTAAATCCCCAAATTTTGAAGCCCAAAATGTTGAAATGAATATTAAGAGAAATGGATGTATGGCTTACCTACTGACGCTACGACGCCGCCGTCTGTGTTGATGGCCCGCGGGAAGAAATGGCTGGCGGCGCCGCCCTATCATACGCGAATGTTGTATGGCCTCTACGCCGCACACGTCGTAGTCGACCACCAAACGACAGGGGCCGGCGGTCGCCTCGCCGCCGAGCGCCTCGTGCGCGTCGCCGGCGCGGACGGACCGGCTCCCGATCTCGCAATGTGCACGACACGGCTAGCACCGTTCGGCGGAGGAGCGCGCGGCCCTCCAGCCAGGCACGCTGCTCCGACGAATGGGGCTGCCGCACCGCCATGGCGGGCGTGTCTCCGGCGCGGTCGCCTCTTCTGCGGGAGCAGTGAATATTGGGGTAACGAGGGGAAATGCCGCTACGGTTTGACCTTGTTCTATTTTGCTCCGCCCAGGTCGATCTGAACCGTCGACAGGATCGAACGGCTGAGGCCGACGCGCTGCTCAGAACGGGACTTCGGGCGCTTAAAGGGCCTATTTCGCTGCTGGTCTGCGACCCAGGTTGTCTTAGCCCAATGAAAGCCTTTTATTTATATGTTTTTGTTTGCTGGGCTGCACCGAATGATTATGTGTAGCCATGGGTTGTATTGGGCCAGGAAATTATGCTGTGCGTTTTTCTTTTATTGGAGTGCATTTCTGTAATTATGATTATTCCAAGAATGTTTTTTGCACTGTTATTAATATAAAATTTCCGGAAAAATTAAGCTGTAAATTATGCTTTACTTTTCTTAGTAAAATGGAACCAATGGAAGTTTTGCTTGTAGAAAATTATTGCACAATGAATGTTGATGCCATTTTAATGACACCTTTTTATGATGATCACCTTTCTAGCATCATTTCAATGATGAAGTCGATGTGAGTCACTCATCCAATTTTCTGAATACTTTGTTTGGGAGATTTAATTGATTATGAATTTTATATTGATGCCATGCTTATGGCATTTTTTAAATGATGTGATCATTACTAATGGGCTGAGGTCACCTCCGGAAAAATGTTAATGGTCGCATGGTGCGTTTTCTACGTCGCACTATGCATCCAATGATGTTAGGCTAGTGTGTTCGTTGACCAATACTAAGGATTATTGTTGGTTCATTTTCTAGTCTTAGGATACCCAAACGGCACGCAAAAGTCACCACCAAGGCCACAGACTTCCACCACTTCAATGAAAGAACCGTTGACAGACCTTGGCTTCGTAAGTCTAGATTTCTCACCCAAAAAACTATTACAGAAGCTACAAAAATTGGTAGAACTAGATGACCGAGAATCAAACAGGAAATCAGTTAAAATATTTTTTCTTATTTTTTTCCATAATGTCGTTTGTGAGACAACCGCTGCTATCATCAGCAAACAAGCCATAGTGGTGAAGAACATGATCTGTGAAGAAATGGCAGTGATGGATTTCTGCGAGGTAATCCTCGAAAGGATTAAGGCAGGAGCCATCGAATGGCAGGACCACAAGATGTTAGATCAGGAAAAAAAGAACAAAAGGAACCTCGACGGTTTTGCACAGGCACCAGTAATCATGTACCTTGACTCCCTGCTCCTACCCATCGACAGCAGAGAAATGCAGAAAATTACTGAGAGAATGGACAAGACCTCATTACCACGAGCAAACCTTCTCTATGAGAGTGACCTAGCAAAATTAGCTGGAGCAAACATGAAAAAGGATGGAAAAGCACGACCGAATGACTATGAATTTGGCAAGATACAAGTCTGACTGTTGTATATAAATCCCTTGTAACTTGAAAAAACATTTTCCATTCTAACCAATTCCATTCTACCGAAACAATGCAGACATGGAAAGGAACGACAGAGAGGATCTTCTACACGAAACAAAGAAACACAGAATCACCTTCGTCTTCAATGCAACTGATACCAGCATACCATCGTAAAAAACCACAGCACCAGCACACGACCAAACTACTACCACCTCCACCCAAGCGCCACGCGCGAAGCATGTGTCAGCACCAGTGGAAGCAGGGAACTTGACACAAGCACCAACATAGGATCAGAAGAACGATTCGAAAGGATAAATCAAATGTTGGAAAACATGCTTAATGAAACAAAACAATTACCCGGAATAACTAGCAGGGTTGAACACCAATACATTGATCAAGAGGAGAAATTGGATCAACAAGCCAAGGAATCACTGGTGCAACAAACAATGTCCCTGATGAAAGCTTTTGAATATCACAAAGACCTTCAAAACCTGATTTGCAAGGCAAGAATGAACAAAACTGACGAGGGCACCCTGCAGGTGGTAGAGCAACTAGATGCTGGAACCACAACTAGACTAGGGGATGGAAACCGCACAACCGAACTCGTAGCCACGACACAAGCAAGAGAAAATAAAAAAACAAAGACGGCAAAAGAAGACCAAGAGAAGAAGAGAAGAACAACATCAAGGACACAGGACACGGGAATTGAAAATTGGGAGATAAAGCACCAGAAACAGGTACATAAGCAGCAGAAGGAGAAGCACATACCAACTAACGCAAGCTTCGAAGAACTACAAAACCAAGGAACAAAAGTAAGAGCACAAAAAAGATGTAGACCACGAACAAGAAAAACAGGTAAATAATAGCAATGCACGATGTCATCTAACTCTAAAGCCCTGTTTTCATACCTGAACTAAAAAAATTGTGTGAATACTCTCATGCACGTGACAATAGCACGCCAGGCCAAGATGAACTCCAACAGTAGGAT